ACCACCCTACCCCAGCCCTGCTAGCTTTCGTACCTCCCCCCTGGCCTCAAGTAGAATTGTGATTTCACAATGCCAGAAGCTGCAAGGAGGTGTGCAAAGCAAAAAAAACCCTGTTCCCTGTGAGAAAATTGTTCAGACTGCCAGATCCCCTGCGACCTTTGGGAACTTCCCCTGTTCCAACTGCCAATGTGCAGGTGCCAGTTATGAGGCTCTAAGATGAAGCACAGTGCCTCTTTTATGGTCGTCCGTATCGATAAAAAACTCGGACGAGAACGGACACAAGCCAAGCTTCGGCCTTGGCGCAGAAAGGCGGAAAGTGCATAAAAAACATTAAAATTCAACAACGTTTGAACTCAGCTTGGTTCAAAAGTGTCGGAGTGTTGCGAAATATTCGAAGTCACAGAGACGTGGCACTGGAGACAGAGCAAGCAGCTGAAAAACAGGTTGGAAGTCAAAGCCCAGCCTCAGAAAGAAGAATAGCAGCCAGTTCCATGATGGAGCACAGACATGGCCATATAATACTGCAGGGAAAGACCAAAAGCGAATGTTTGATGAACCAACCCAGAACTTCAACGGACTCCAAAACTCACAAAGTCACGCCTAGGTTTCACCTAGCCTTTGGGTTGTGAAGCCGGTCAACTTTGATGAAATTACAGCCTTTTACAATAAACGTGAAAAGGCCGCGAAAAGTGAGTGAACAGTCCTTGAAAAGCCCGTGAATACATGGTTATCAACATGTTCCATCATTTCCTGCAGTATGGGTGAATTGTAGGTAGACTTTAGTCAAACCTGTCCTTTGTGATAATGCACTCAGTGAACCTATCCTTTGGAAGCGCTGGGCAACAACACAAGATTTACAGCAAGTATCAGCGTATATATGTTACATACACGAGAAAAAATCAAGACTTGATTGCCACGAAAGGTGTGTCAGATTCCACTGCTGATTGCGCGGACAAAGAGCAAAGACTTCGAAGACCGGCGATCGACAAGTACGCGCTGACAACGAACCTAGGAACCAGCCTGATTCACAGCTACTCCCAGCTCAAACATGGAACAAAAACACAATTCATCAAATCCAAGGGGATAAGCCTTTAATTGTTTTTTCAGATATGCTTTGTGAATCTCTCTTTCATAAAAGGGCAGGTCCATATGCATTGGTTGGGAAGATAGCAAAATTCGGGATCTTCACAGAAAAGTGTGGGATTTCCATGGCAAAGTTTGGGACTTTCACGCCGGGACCACGCATGGACCACTCTCCAGGTCACAAGCACAGAAATTAAGAAAGGAACGTGAGACCATTTCCCCAACACATGTACACAATACCAGACTATGAGAATCCCTATGCTATATGAAAGGACGTGGAAATTTTTTTCTCAGCAATAGCCACCGATGAAAGCGTCATTCCATGCTATGATCAACAACTAACAGATGGATGGGAATCTCTTCTTTGTTTGTTTTGCATTGTTTTGCTTTGATGAGCGTTGAACCGCATTTCAACCTACATCTACGAAGGCTCCCCTGATGTTGCCTCACAAGCTCAGACTCAAATGAAAAATGCGCCAGCAATTTAGCCTTTGCAGGTGGCAAAGTTTGGGTAACTGCAAAGTTTGCAATAGTTTCTGCGTCTATTCTTTGCACCTGGACTGTCTCAGTAGCCTCAACATGGCGGGTTCAACATGGTTCAACAGTAGTGTCCGAACGTGGTTACAACGGTTAGATCATGCCAAGAGGCAAGAGCTGAGCACCGGGTTGCAGCTGGGACTTTCGCTTGTGATGCTATTCTGCCGATGCTGTTGTCCAATTTGTCCAACAGCCAAAGGGAGTTCAGCCAGCATGTGATTGAGTCAAGAATGTCTTGGGGATTAGGTGCTTGCAATTCACGACGAATTGCTGCAACTTCTCTCGTTCCGAACGACAATGCGCGGGCGCCAAGTTTAAAAAAAACCCGATGAGATTGCAATGAAGACAGTCGTCAGTGTGACTGTGGAATGCAAAGTGGCCAAACAGAAAATGCCCAAGGGTTGCCCACCACATGGTTGCAGCCAAGACTCGGATTACCAATCATTTCTCCTCCAGCATCAGCATGATGTATAGATGCAGGTGGAGTACGAATATGGTCACAATGTATTGCAGAGGATGGCCAACCTTCAGGAACGCAGCTTATCAAAAGCACTTTCGCCACCAACCAACAGTCAAGCGGAAGGTGGAAAGAGGCGTCCCAAATGCAACGAACAGTCTAACCCCAGAGGATCCTGGGTCTATTCTTGCCATTGTTTCTATGAGAATCAGAACTGGATGGCTGGGCCACGCCAACCAAGTTCACATCCCCACAATCGCGAAAGTTTCTGATCCATCAGCGGTCAATACGTGCAAAGGTACAATGATTTTTCCCCCGCACCATTTGCTCTTTAGAAAAGAGGCTACGCCTTTTGAGCAGACACGAACCCGCTCAAACATGGAACAAAAACACATTTCATCAAATCCAAGGGGATAAGCCTTTAATTGTTTTTCATACATGCTTTGTGAATCTCTCTTTCATAAAAGGGCATGTCCATACGCATTGGTTGGGAAGATAGCAAAATTCGGGATCTTCACAGAAAAGTGTGGGATTTTCATGGCAAAGTGGGACTTTCACGCCGGGAGAAAGCGTCATGCCATGCTATGATCAACAACTAGCAGATGGATGGGAATCTCTTCTTTGTTTGTTTTGCATTGTTTTGCTTTGATGAGCGTTGAACCGCATTTCAACCTACATCTACGAAGGCTCCCCTGATGTTGCCTCACAAGTTCAGACTCAAATGAAAAATGCACCAGCCATTGAGCCTTTGCAGTGTTGGGCCTGTCTTTTGTGAGGCGAGCAAAGGAGATGTGTGCCATGTGCAAACAAGGCCAGCATGGCCAGCATCAGCATATGTATAGATGCAGGTGGACTACGAATATGGTCACAATATATTGCAGACACGCAGCTTGTCAGCACTTTCGCCACCAACAGTCAAGCGGAAGGTGGAAAGAGGCATCCCAATTGCAACGAACAGTCTAAGGTCTATTCTTGCCATTTTTTCTATGAGAATCAGAACTGGATGGCTGGGCCACGCCAACCAAGTTCACATCCCCACAATCGCGAAAGTTTCAAGTATGGCCCGGTCACATTGCAGACAAGGCCCAAGCAGAAGCTTTCACCTCACAGTTTGTTCGCAAGCTCCTGTTCCAACCGCTCGTTGTTGATGCCTCCAAGGTGAACGCAATTGATAACAAACAGCGGTTTGTGGGCAGTGTGACTTTGTGAGCTGGCACGACTCTGGAAGTATGAGATGCCACGAATACCACGGTAGGACGCTAGGCGACACGAATCTGTGACTTTGTGACCTGGCACGACTCTGGAAGTATGAGATGCCACGAATACCACGGTAGGACGCTAGGCGACATGAATCTGTCGTGCAGACTTTGTGACATTTCCTGCAGTTGATCTTCAAGGGTAGCTGTGTGGTGGGCGCGTTTCATGTCTTGGCTGAAAACCGCGGGGGAAGCCAGTCACGCGACCCCATGTGCAAAAAGAGTTGCTGCGTTGTCCACTGCCTCAATGAAGTTTGACAAAATTGTTCAGACTGCCAGATCCCCTGAGACCTTTGGGAACTTCCCCTGTTCCAACTGCCCATGTGCAGGTGCCAGTTATGAGACTCTAAGATGAAGCACAGTGCCTCTTTTATGGTCGTCCGCATCGATAAAAAACTCGGACGAGAACGGACACAAGCCAAGCTTCGGCCTTGGCGCAGAAAGGCGGAAAGTGCATAAAAAACATTGAAATTCAACAACGTTTGAACTCAGCTTGGTTCAAAAGTGACACAGCTTCTTGGTGGACACCGTTCAAAGTTCAAAACTTCTGCTCTCGCTGCTTACCTGTAGAAGCTCAAACCTTGAGCGGTGACAGTGACTGGCAGAAATTTCTGCGGATGCAAAGCCCATGGAGCTTCAGTAGTCATCGACCCATACTCAGCTTGGTTCAAAAGTGTCGGAGTGTTTCGAAATATTCGAAGTCACAGCGACGTGGCACTGGAGACAGAGCAAGCAGCTGAAAAACAGGTTGGAAGTCAAAGCCCAGCCTCAGAAATAAGAATAGCAGCCAGTTCCATGATGGAGCACAGACAAGGCCATATGATACTGCAGGGAAAGACCAAAAGCGAATGTTTGATGAACCAACCCAGAACTTCAACGGACACCAAAACTCACCCAGTCACGCAGAAAGGCAGAAAGTTTAGCGTCGCACGGCATGAAAGCATCAAAACTCAAAAACGTTTGAATCACATTTTTTCTGCTGAATCTCTTCTAAGCTTAAGATGACAGTGACACAGCTTCTTGGTGGACACCGTTCAAAGTTCAAAACTTCTGCTCTCGCTGCTTACCTGTAGAAGCTCAAACCTTGAGCGGTGACAGTGACTGGCAGAAATTTCTGCGGACGCAAAGCCCATGGAGCTTCAGTAGTCATCGACCTATACTCAGCTTGGTTCAAAAGTGTCGGAGTGTTTCGAAATATTCGAAGTCACAGAGACGTGGCACTGGAGACAGAGCAAGCAGCTGAAAAACAGGTTGGAAGTCAAAGCCCAGCCTCAGAAATAAGAATAGCAGCCAGTTCCATGATGGAGCACAGACAAGGCCATATGATACTGCAGGGAAAGACCAAAAGCGAATGTTTGATGAACCAACCCAGAACTTCAACGGACACCAAAACTCACCCAGTCACGCAGAAAGGCAGAAAGTTTAGCGTCGCACGGCATGAAAGCATCAAAACTCAAAAACGTTTGAATCACATTTTTTCTGCTGATCTTAATGAGGCCTTTAATGAACATGAAGACTATGGCGATTGGCCATGGGTACCGGGTACCGTGTATGCCAACATCACCACTGGAGGAAGCAATCAATGTTGACTCAGCACAAGAATTGGGAAGCTGGGAAGCCCTAAATTAGCATAGTACTCCAAAAGATCTAAGACATCTAGGCACGGAAGCTTTGCCCCATGCCAATTTTTTCTGGCTGTTTCCCGGTCCTCTGTGTCGATCAGTTCCAAGCTCAAACCTTGAGCGGTGACAGTGACTGGCAGAAATTTCTGCGGACGCAAAGCCCATGGAGCTTCAGTAGTCATCGACCTATACTCAGCTTGGTTCAAAAGTGTCGGAGTGTTTCGAAATATTCGAAGCCCCAGAGATGTGGCACTGGAGACAGAGCAAGCAGCTGAAAAACAGGTTTGAAGCCCGGCAGAGCCGGAGCTCAGAAATATAGTTGCTAGTTCGACGATGGAGCACAGACATGGCCAAACGATGCAGCAGGGAAAGACCAAAAGCTGATGGAGCTTTCTTAAGCTTGGAACATGCTGATTCTGATGTGGGCACCGGATGGGTACCTTTTGGGTTTGTGGGGTTTGAGCGGCGCGTCTCAATTGTGATTTCAGCATCACAATGGGATGAAACTTGATTGGTGATGCAAATCAACAGCTTAATTTGAGACACATTTTGAATTTTGATGTTTGATGAACCAACAACATAAGATTTGCTGCACGTATCAGTGTATATATAATATAGATTCAAGACTTGATTGCCAGGAAAAACGTGTCAGATTCCAGTGCTGATGGCGCGGACAAAGAGCAAAGACTTTGAAGACCGGCGATCGACAAGTACGCCCTGACAACGAACCTAGGAACTATGTAGCCTGACTCACAGCTACTCCCGGCTGTACGAGGTACCTTATTTGGGATCTGCGTGCTTCGTGCCGTAACGGGGACATTGCGGAAATCTTTTATCGTCCTCGTCAGCACTTGCTTTTGGAAGTCCGCTCATGCGGCTCATGCCTAGGCCAGCTGTGAGGTGGCGATAAGTCACGCGAGCCGCGTTCAATACTGCCTGTAGACGGCTTTAGTATTCGGTCAAATAGTTCCACGGAAAAGTTAAAACGACCACACACACACAAATGCAAGCTTTTCACAAGCTTTGCGCAAACTTATGTTCGCGCAAGCTTTGCGCAAGCTCAAAACAGCTCAATACTATCTAGTTTGAACCATTTAAAAACCAAGTCCAAGACCTGCTTCCCGCCTGCCAGCATGGGTGAATTGTACGTAGACTTTAGTCAAACCTGTCCTTGTGATAACGCACTCAGTAACCTACCATACCGGTGTGAGTTTCCTCTAGGATTTCAGGGGGTCAACCCCCCTAAGAAGGATTGATTTTCTGGCGCGAAAATTCTTCGATTTTGATGAAATGCTGCTTTTATCAACCCCCTCATTTTCTACAGAACAACTTTTGGAGACCTCTGAGTCGGGAGACCCTGATTTTCTGGGTAGCTTAAGTGCCCAAAATCCAGGAACATAATTTTAGCATCTCTGGGAGGACGTTCCTAGATTTTCTAGTGGTCCCTGATTTTCTAGAGGGGCACTGGTAGGTCATTTTGTTTTGTTTAAACATGCTTAGAATCTAGTCCCATCTCTCTCCTGTCCAAGTTTGCAACACTTGCCGCATCTCTAGATTTTCTTGGGTCCCTAATTTATACAACATTCATTTTCTAGTAGAAAATCACAGGCCCCAACCTGACCCGGTGAACTGCCACAGGGTTAACCTACCTATCCTTTGGAAGCGCTGTGGCGCTGGGCTACAACACAAGATTTACAGCAAGTATCAGTGTATATACATATATACACGATAAAGATTCGACACTTCATTGCCAGGAAAAAGTGTGTCAGATTCTAGTGCTGATTGCGCAGGCAAAGAGCAAAGACTTCGAAGACCGGCGATCGACAGGTATGCCCTGACAACAAACCTAGGAATCAGCCTGATTCACACATCTCCAAAGACCATCTCAGCAAAACCCCTTTGCGTAAGCTTGTGCAAGCCCATCTTGAAAGATTGACCATGGACAATTCGTTGTGGTCGCAAGGATGGCGCAAGGGTTTCATGCAAGCAGGAATCATTTCCATTCCGTTTTTATGGAGGTTTTGAACACCGCTGAGGTGTCACTGTTCCCTGCCGATAAAGCATGGAAGCATGGGATGAGGCTCGAGACTTGAGTTAGGATAATCTCCATGGTACTACCAAGATGCAAAGTCGTCCAGGAGAGTGGGAATTTTTGCCGTGGGCCTGGATGACTGGGGAAAAGAGCCGAGATGCAGCCGTTGCCTTGAAAAAATATTTTCTCATTCAAGCAGCGCTCACGACTAGCCAGTGATCGGCCGAGCTTGGTAGAGTATACAAGCAACACATGAATTATTCTACAAAGTATGTAGCACACAAAGACACAGCAGGATTAATCTCTGTTCCGGGTGTTGGTGTTCATGATTGAGATTGCCTAGCCCAATCATTTATAAGTTGCGCCAGGTCAAGTCACACGCGCTATTATTTGCATGGCCATCTGAATGTATTCATGCCTCTGGGAGGCATGTTTGTTTACTTGCCACAAGCTTGGTCCAACGTACGAGACACAGTGATCTGCATATGAAAACTGGATCCAATGTGATATTGA